ATGAGGCAACAAATAAATGCATCTTTTAGAGCTGTTAAAGGTTGCCTGGACAACTGTAAGGCTGTCTGTGAGAGATAGTCTCACATCACATGCTTAACATAGTGATTAGCATATAGAAAGTACTAAGTAAACATCATTATTTATTATTTGAAAAGTATAATTAGGATTAAATATTTTGAAATATGCACTTAAATGTGTATTTGAAATGTATATTTAATAACCAAAACATGCTTTTTAGCGAAAATCTTTTGGTTTTTTTTTTTTTTTTAATTGTACTTTAGATTCTAAGGTACATGTGCAGCTCATGCAAGATTGTTGCACAGGTACATTCATGGCAAGGTGGTTTGTTGCCACCGTCTCCCCATGAAAATATCTATTATTGTTATTAATAGTTGTGGAGCCAGGCGCCATGGCTCACACCTATAATCCCAGCACTTTGGGAGGCCGAGGCAGGCAGATCACCTGAGTTTGGGAGTTCGAGACCAGCCTGACCAACATGGAGAAACCCTGTCTCTACTAAAAATACAAAATTAGCTGGGCATGGGGGAGCATGCCTATAATCCAGCGACTCAGAAGGCTGAGGCAGGAGAATCACTTGAACCTGGGAGGAGGAGATTGTGGTGAGCCGAGATCACGCCATTGCACTCCAGCCTGGGCAAGAAGAGTGAAACTCTGTCTCAAAAAAAAAAAAAAAAAAAAAAAAAAGTTGAGGTGGCCTGGTAGCTGGCCTGTCTGTCTCTGAATATTCACATCCTTGTACAGTCCCCTCCCACATTGTACCAGGGTTGGTTTGTGCCACCATAGAATATGGCAGAAGTAATGGTATATCACTTCTGAGATTCAGCTATAAAAGACATTACAGCTACAATCTTGGTCATTTTTTTTCTCTCTTTCTCCCTATCCCCACTTGCTCTGGAGAAAACCAGCCACATCATGGGACAGTTCATGTAACAAACCTTTTGCCAACAACCATGTGAGTTGCTGAGCCTCCTTAGAAGAGCCAAGAAGCCTTCTTAGAAGTGGATCCACCAGCCCTGGTCAAAGTTTCACATGACACTAGCCCCCAGTGACATTCTGATTGCAAACTTATACCAGAGACTGTGACCCAGAACCATCCAGTGAAGCAGCTCCAGTTTCCTGACCCTCAGAAACTGCATGAACATTTGTTGTCTCGTGCTGCTAGTTTTGGAGTAATTTTTGTTTTTGTTTGTTTGATTTTGAAACGGAGTCTAGCTCTGTCACCTAGGCTGGAGTGCAGTGGAGCGATCTCGGCTTACTGCAGCCTCCACCTCCCAGGCTCAAGCAATTCTCCTGCCTCAGCCTCCCGCGTAGCTACATTCACAGGCACACACCACCATGCCCAGCTAATTTTTATATTTTGGTAGAGACAGGGTTTCACCATGTTGGCCAGGCTGGTCTCAAACTCCTGACCTCAGGTGATCTGCCTGCCTCGGCCTCCCAGAATGCTGGGATTACAGGCATGAGCCACCACACCTAGCCAGTAATTTGTTTATGTAGCAATAAATACTAATATAGTTTCTATATATTTTAAGTTTTAATAAACTTTCAAATATAAAGAATTTATTGGGCCCAAGCCCAATTCTATCATTTTTGATCTCCACTGATCCTTGGTAGTTTACAAGCATTCATTTTTTATATAATTGTTATCAGTGTGTACACTCTAATTCATATCTGATTTTTCCTCTTAGAATTATTTCATGGGGCTGAGTGCAGTGGCTCACACCTGTAATCTCAGCACTTTGGGAGCCCAAAGTGGGTGAATCATGAGGTCAGGAGTTCGAGACGAGCCTGGCCAACATGCTGAAACCATGTCTCTACTAAAAATACAAAAAGTAGCTGTGTGTGGTGGTAGGCACCTGTAATCCCAGCTACTCAGGAGGCTGAAGCAGCAGCATTGCTTAAACCTGGGAGGTGGAGGTTGCAGTGAGCCGAGATCGCGCCACTGGGTGACACAGCAAGACTCCATCTCAGGGGGAAAAAAAGAATTATTTCATGTGTACCAACAAAGTACGAGCTTCTTAGCATTTATACTGGCTGTATAGCATTCTGCCCTGTTACTATGTCATGCTATCTCAAATAGTCCCTTTTGCACCTGGGTTGGTTCCTGTGATGACAGAATATAGCAGAAGTAATGGTATGTCACTTCTGAGATTAGATTTTAAAAGACATTGCAGCTACCATCTTGGGCATTCTAACTTTCTCTCTCTCCCCACTTGCTCTGGGAGAAACCAGCTACCACATCATAGGCAGCGCCATGGGGCAATCCATGTGACAGGCTTCTTGCCAACAACCATGTGAGTTGTTGAGTCTCCTTAGAAGAGCCAAGAAGGCTCCTTAGAAGTGGATCTATTCTGGCTGTATGGCATTCTGCCCCGTTACTATATCACACCACCTCAAACAGTCCCTTTCGTTGGAATTTAAATTACTTCCAGTTTTCCAAAATAATAACCAGCACAATAAAAATAGTGCAAATTAGCTGGGCAGTATGCTGAAAGTTAAATAGACTAGCTCCCTTAGATACATAAAAGACAGCTCTAACACAGAAGGGGCAAGTCCTCCTAAAGTACATAGACCATGAACAAATATTGAACACAAGCATTGGTTAGATAAGTGAACAAATATAAGGCTGACCTAAGACAGTGAGTGCAAAGAAACTAGGTGAACTTACTTGTTTAGATAATAACTTTCTGGAATTCTGTGTTTCCTAGAGAAATACAGGAATGACAGCAGACAATACAACTTTGGAAAAATCCTATAAATAATTGCCTTGGCTCCAAGTATCAAAGCAGAATTTCAGAGAGGGTCCTCCTACACTTAAGTCATTGTCCCCAGACTGTGAGTTTATGCCTCTTTCAGCATTCTCCTCCCTTCCTCTGGCTGTGCTTTGTCAGACTGCAATCGTGGCTGGAAGAAAAAAGTTGACTTAGCCATTCTTTGTTAAAATTCAGGACTATTTTAGAGATACCATGTTTCATTCAAATATAGCCTTCATTAAAAGGCTTTCACGTAACCAGATCCTATGAGCAGAAAGCCATCATGCCTCCAATTCAGCTTCTTCAGATTGGCTGGTTTTGGTGCTCAACTTTTGACTTCACCCACCTTCCTGACAAAGTTTTGATGACCACCGGGTAAGCATGACATCTTTAACATTAAAAAAACAATCATGATTGAAGGGAACTGCACTTCATACATCAAGGAGCACTGAATATGACTAACTCTAAAACTTCATCAGGCCATGAGGTTTTATTGACATCTGTGTATTTGGCTTCTGCTGTGATAATCCTCATTGAATGTGGAGTAGTCACCTTTCCTGCCCCCAGTGCTCTACCTCCCTTGGAAGACTCCCTCCACCCCACCCCAGCCCCATTCAGCTTCGTTCAGAAAACCTTCATTTTTATCTCCCGTTAAAGTTTGTTTGATGAAGAGGCTCTGAGGCTGGAATGACAGCTCAGTTGTTTGAACCCTACTGGGTTAGAGAATGGTGCTGTAAGGTTAAGATCAAAAGGTCACCAGGTCAGGATTTCATTGCTGAGGAAGAAAAGCTTCAGTGACAGCGATTCAGTGTAAAGTTATCATCACTAGCATAATTAAACACACACACACACACACACACACACACACACGCACACACACACCCCACAATGCATACACTGTCCCAGCTGGAACGGATCAGGGTGGCCTTCTGGCTCTGGCCTCTAGCAACCTGGGTTCAAATCCTGCCTCCACCACATGGTACTGTGGCTTCTTGCAGCTGTTTGAACCTCACTGAGCCCACTTCTTCTTTTCAGCAATCTGTAGATAATAATCCTGACTACCTTACAGGAGAAGTACGTTGGCTCAGGGAACACACTTAGTACAGTGTCAAGCATGGAATTAAGTTCTCAATAAGAACCGTCAATTATTAAAATTACATTCTTGGCTTGGCACAGTGGCTCACACCTGTAATCCCAGCACTCTAGGAGGCTAAGATGGGTGAACCACTTGAGGCCAGGAGTTCTAGACCAGCCTGGCCAACAGGATGAAACCCCATCTCTACTAAAAATATAAAAATCAGCTGGGCATGGTGACACACACCTGTAATCCCAGCTACTCAGGAGGCTGAGGTGGAAGAACCGCTTGAACCTGGGAGGCGGAGTTTGCAGTGAGTTGAAATTGTGCCACTGCACTCTAGCCTGGGCAACAGAGCAAGACTCCATCTCAAATAAATTAATGAAATAAAATATTCTTGTTTTAATTATAACAATATTTTATATATTGCTCAAGCCAAAGTCCAATAGCATTACAATTATTTTTAAAATATATACTATCTCCCTTTAAAGGACAGGTAGTTTCTGGGAATTATTCATATTATTGTCCTTCATGAAGCCTAACCCAGCACATTCAGCACAGCAGAACTTCAATAAGTCTTTGGCAAATAAATAAATAAATGTTCTAAATAAAGTGGATCTGTAGGGACAGGTCTGTACACATAATCCCTCTACTTAGGAGCCTAGTAGAATGCCATACACATTTTGAAAGCTCTATAAATATTTTATAATAGTAACAATGACATAATAATTATAATTATGAATGAAGATTACTCTTAGCTCAATTTCCTGAATTAGGATTATGTGTAACAGCCACAAAGAAAATGTATTCATCCAGGGTTCCAGCTCAATGCAAACTGAACCGTAACTTGATTTTTAAAATAAATAAAGCAAATGAATCAATGGGTCCTTTACCTTTCAAACAGTTGTTTCTAGGAAGCAGAAGTGTGGGGCTATCGTATGCAGGTTGTGATAAATTAGGTCTTTTCTTTCAACATTTAGATAATAATTATCTTACATGTCACAGGAACTGGATTATTTTACATTCAATTCCTAAGCTTTATAATGCTTATCGTAAGTGGCAAACCAACTAATGAAATCTGAGTGGTGAGCTATGGGACATAGAAGGGAGCAGGCCACATGGGCCATTCTCTTCTGCTTTCTCTATTTTAGCTTTCTTCAGACAAGGGAGGCTGAAGCACTCTTTTGGAAAAGGAAACCACAGAGCCACCAGCAGCAGGTAAGCCTTCCACATTGTGATTCATAGACTAGAGTTTTATGATATTAATAAATGTTCTTTAGAAAGAAGACTCCTGGCCGGGCATGTTGGCTCTTGCCTTAATCCCAGCACTTTAGGAGACCAAGGTGAGTGGATCACAAGGTCAGGAGTTCAAGACCAGCCTGACCAACATGGTGAAACTCTATCTCTACTAAAAATACAAAAATTAGCTAGGCATGGTGGTGCACACCAGCAATCCCAGCTCTTCAGGAGACTGAGGCAGGAGAATCGCCTGAACTCAGGAGGTGGAGATTGCAGAGTGCGGAGATCACACCACAGCAGTCCAGCCTGGGCATTAGAGCAAGACTCTGTCTCAGAACAAAAAAAAAAAAAAGAAGAAGAAGAAGGAGAAAGATTCCTTAAGAGCAGTATGACCTTGGGCAAAATGAGTTTTGATGAGAAAGAGGGAGAGGAAAAGGTTCTGAACATGGGCAAGCTGTCAGTAGGATAGTCCTCCTTATGACCCAGGTGTAGAGTACAAGGCCACATGTAGTCCTTGGGCATGATAGCAAATAAATAATGTGTGCTTAAAAGTTTGCTGCACGAAATTTGCTGTAAATCTTAACAGTGGCTATATCTAGGTGATGGAGCCATAAGTGCTTGCTGTTTTTCCTTTATCCTTTTAAAAATATTATTTTCAAAGCTTTTTTCTTGTAATGGCAAGTAGTAGTTTTATTGTCTGAGAAACATATTAGCTTACATTATATTATAAAAATACATGACTATCATGTTAAAAACAATTGTGTTTTGGGCTGAGCGAGGTGGCTCATGCCTGTAATCCCAGCACTTTGGAAGGCTGAGGCAGGTGGATCATGAGATCAGGAGGTTGAGACCATTTTGGCCAACATGGTGAAACCCCATCTCTACTAAAAACACAAAAATTAGCTGGGCGTGGTGTCACGTGCCTGTAATCCCAGCTACTGGGGAGGCTGAGACAGGAGAATTGCTTGAATCGGGGAGTCAGAGGTTGCAGTGAGCAGATATCAAGCCATTGCATTCCAGCCTGGCAACAGAGTGAGACTCTGTCTAAAAAAACAAACAAACAAAAACATTTGTGTTTCAAGGGACATTAATCAAAAAAGTGAAAACACAACTCACAGAATGGGGGAAAATATTTAAAATCATATATTAGATAAAGGACTAGTATCACTTACCAGATATGAATAAAGACTTCTTGTAATTCAACAATAAAAAGACACATAACCCAATTTAAAAATAGACAAAAGATGTGAATGGACATTTCTCCAAAGAAAATATACAAATGGCCAATACGAATTTCTTAGCATAATTAGTCTTAGAGAAAAGCAAATTAAAGCCACAGTGAGATACTAATTCATAGCCACTAAGATATCTATAATCAGAAAGAAGATAACAACAACCATTGGCAAAGATTTGGAGAAATTAGGACCCTTATACATTGTTAACAGGAATGTGTAAAAGCATACAGCCACTTTGGAAAACAGTTTGGTAGTTCCTCAAAAAGTTAAATATAGGGTTATCATATGACCAAGAAATTCCATTCCTAGATATATACCCAAGAGAAAGGAAAACACATTTATCCAAAAACATACACTTGAATATTCATAGCATAACTCATTATAGCCCAAAGTGGAACAACCCCAATGTTCATCTAAGGATGAATGGATAAACAAAATGTGGTACATTCATGCAATAGAATACCGTCTAGCAATAAAAAGGAAAGATCTACTGAAGATCAGCTGAAGCTGGCATCCCTGGGCCAATTCCTGCTGCCACGGTTCCACTATTCTCAGTCCTCAGACCTTGAAGATCCTCCACCACTGACACGGCTGTCACCATTTGCCATCCTTGCAGAGCGTGCTCCTGCATTTGATTTATCATGTGCTAAATCATTTGCTTTGTACTTTAAGTAGGGGCCAGGGAAGAGGACTCTGGAAAGGACATGTGGGCCTGAGACACCTTAAAATCAGAAAAAGACCTGAGAAACACATAGGGTAGAAGAATGTAGGGAGCATGTAGGAGATAAAGTCTCACTCTGTCACCCAGGCTGGAGTACAGTGGCACAATCTCGGCTCACTGCAACCTCTGCCTCCCAGGTTCAAGCGATTCTCCTGCCTCAGCCTCCCGAGTAGTTGGGACTACAGGTGTGTGCCACCACACCTGGCTAATTTTTGTATTTTTAGTAGAGATGGGGTTTCACCATGTTGACCAGGCTGGTCTCGAACTCCTGACTTTGTGATCTACCCACCTAGGCCTCCCGAAGTGCTGGGATAAGGCATTTTTTACCTGTACCCTTTTAGGGATTTTTGGCTAAGACTGAGAATTAAATGAACACAGATAGATCAATAGGAGAAATGCATACAAATTTGTTGAATACAAGTTTTATGTTGCACAGGAGACTTTACAAGGAAATGAAGACCCAGAGATGCAATTAGAGCTTAACATGTATATACTGATTTAGACAAAGAGAAGTACATTATGAAAATGTGACAAGGAAAAGGGGCTTGGGCTAGGGTAGTTAATTGGTGAAGAAGTGGCTAGGGGGATAAGGATTAGTTTAACAAGTTTGTTTGTAATATTTCCATAGCCTTTCCCCCTCCTTGATGATGAGAATATTTCCTTCTGTTAGAGGGAGAACATTCTTTGCATGGGAATTTTATCTGCTGCTTTTCAGAAATAGAAGGAAGGGCAGAGTGATCATTTTGCACCTTTTTGCACTTCTTGTTTTTTAAGCGCATTTAACTTAAAATAGTCAATATGCTAGAGTGGCATATTTTTAACTCCTTCAAGCAGCTACAACAAAATGGGGAGAAAAAATAGTGACAACTGTGGCAGCAACCTACATGTGTCAAACATCTCTCATAAGGCAAAACTGACAATAATAAACAACTGACATGTCAGTTATGGAGTTATCCTTTTACTGGAAGAAGTTCCATAGATAACAGGAATTTCAAAAAATCTGTAATGGAAACTGACTTTAATGTAACTGATAACTCCATAAGGCTCTTCACTCTGAACCACTCGTTAACGAGTGCTTCAGTTGATGAACAAATTGGTTTTTACCCTGGACTGCAGATGCCATTAGGTCTCTGCTGGTCCTAGACTTTTTTAAAGGATGAAAATGGGCCCCATATTAATTCATGTTCAACTACAGAAAACAACAAGTGAAACTTTGTTTGCTCCAAATTGGAAACTGAAATACGGAAACAGCAGTGTAGAATTAAACAGATGAAAGTGGTTTATCAGATAACGAAAAGGCAAAGGATATTTAATTATATTAAAAATGGACTTAAAGCCAGGAACAATAGAAAATGTGGAAGAATCTTTCACAGAGGCACAAAGTGAAGTTTTTCCATACTCTGATTTTCTCCCTCTTCCCTTCAATACCCTGGACTTGCACAAACGAGCCCTCTCAACATCTGAAAATTGGAAAGCAACAGTGGAACCTTCAGAAAGCTCTATTATTGGAAATGGAAAGATTACAATATATGACTATACAAAAAGAGAAGTCAAAGCTGCAAACTAAAAGTAGTTTGTACTACAGCAGTTACTGAATGACTCTCTTCCTCCAATGCTATACTGAAAGTGAGACAGCCAAAACTTTCTGATTCATTGAGTCTTCAGACATCTTGTGTAGATAAAAGTTGAGGAAAAAGAAAAACAAAAAACAAACCTGGTTCTTGCAAGCTTGAACAAAATGCTTCAAAATGGATTTGGAGCAATGCCGGCAAATATAAATGAAATTCTAGATCACCATGTCTAAAAAGTTCATCCACCACAAAACAGTTGATTGCAACTTAGGACTTTAAAACTCCTAAAACTTCCATTTTAAATCCATGCCAAGAACTTTCAACTAGGACCAGACAACTCACTGACTGGGTAAAGTGACCTCAATAAGGTGTCTGCCCCCAGGGTCTTCAATACCAGTCTCCGTCTTTTCTTGAAAATGAAAAGAAATAAATCAAGGCACCAATCACAAACTTTACCAAAAAACTACAGTGTTGAATAGACCATTCTATATTTACAAGCTATTTGTTGCCTTCATTTATAGTTAAGTGCTTATCCATTGACCAAAATTAATTCTTTTCATTCACATATCTGAGTGTGAGCAAATCTATTCAAGAAGCCCAGCTAAAATATAGTTCATTGTTCCCAGATACAGGTATGAAAACACACACACACACACACACACACTCCAATTGCTTCATATGATATGGACTGGAATTATGAAAATTACTGCTGAGAGTATTTGAATTTTCTTAATTGTTAATTTTTTTTATAGAGATGAGGTCTCACTTTATTGCCCAAGCTGTTTTCAATCAAACTCCTGGGCTCAAGCTATCCTCCTGCTTTGGCCTCCCCAAATGCTGGGATTACAAGGATGCGAGCCCAGCGGAGAGTCTTTATATAAATGGAAGGGCTTCTATGCTGACATGTTTGACAATCTTTTGCATGTTACATTTCAAAGAAATGTTTCACTTAGTAAACTGTTCTATTCAAAGATTGTTCTTTTGTGATTGTTTTTCAGTATAATTCTGTCATCAATAAATGGTATAATGGGTGGTGGGGGGAGGAAGACAGTACTGAACTTATTATAGCATGGATGAGTCTTGCAACTATTATGTTAAGTGAAAGAAGCTGAACCAATAGTAGCATGTTGTTATTTTCCTAGTTACATGCAATGTCCAGAATTGGCAAATCCGTAAAGACAGAAAGTAAACTGGTGGTTGCCAGCAACTAGGAGTAGGGAGGAATGGGAGCAACTACTAATGGTGCAGGGTTTCTTACTGGGATGACAGTGTTCTGGAATTAGTGGTGATGGTTGCATGACTTTGGAATTATATTCAAAACGAAGGAATTATAAATTTTAAGAGTAAATTGTATGGCATGAGACTTGTATGTCAATAAAATGACTAAGTTAAAAACAAAATTTCAAGTATAAATCCACTAAAAATTCAGAATCTGCCATACTTTTGATTGATGAGTTTTGCTTACTCTTGAGGGCCTATTAATGTTTTTTTGTTTTTGCTTTGAGATGGAGTCTTGCTCTGTTGCCCAGGCTGGAGTGCAATGGTGTGATCTTGGCTCACTGGAACCTCTGCCTCCTGGGTTCAAGCAGTTCTCTTGCCTCAGCCTTCCCTAGTAGCTGGGATTACAGGCACATGCCACCATGTCCGGCTAATTTTTATACTTTTAGTAGAGATGGGATTTCACCATGTTGGCCAGGCTGGTCTTGAACTTCTGACCTTGTGATCCACCTGCTCCCAAAGTGCTGGGATTACAGACATAAGCCACCGTGCCAGGCTGGGCCTATCAATGTTTACTAACTAAATGCAAAGAGGAGATATAAAGGAGAGTTGAAAGCTGGAAATTCTGGGGATGGAGAGCACATTTTCCCCCCTTTTTTAAAGACAGAATCATGCTCTGTTGCCTAGGCTGGAGTGCAGTGGCATGATCTTGGCACACTTGGCTTCGATCTACTTCTGTAACCTCTGCTTCCCGGGTTCAAGCGATTCTCCTGCCTCAGCCTCCCAAGTAGCTGGGATTACAGGTGCATGCCACCACACCCAGCTAATTATTTGTATTTTTAATAGAGATGGGTTTTCACCATGTTGGCCAGGCTGGTGTTGAACTCTTGGCCTCAAGTTATCCGCCCACCTAGGCCTCCCAAAGTGTTGGGATTACAAGCATGAGCTACCACGCCCCGTTGAGAACACTTTTTATTTTTGGGACAGGGTCACACTCTGTTGCCAAGGCTGGAGTGCAGGGGCTTGATCTTGGCTCACTGCAGCCTGGACCTCCGGGGCTCAGGTGATCCTTTCACCTTAGCCTCTGGAGTAGCTGGGACTACAGGCACGCGCCACCACGCCTAGCTAATTTATTGATTGATTAATTGATGGAAACAGGATTTCACCGTATTGCCCAGAACTCCTGGGCTCGAGGGATCCACCTGCCTTGGCCTCCCAAAGTGCGACGATTATAGGTCTGAACCACCGCGCCCGGCCCAAGAGCACTTTTTAAATGCAGGAGTCCCCGTTTCTGATCTCTCATCCCTTATTTCCATGGAAGCAATTCGTTTCATAGAATCGTAGACATTTGGGGCGGGGTGGGGGGGGGATTTTAGAAAATGTCTACTGCATCCAAATGCCCTATTCTACAGACGAAAAAACAAGGCCCAGGAGGAGGAAAGAGTCTGCATACTGTCATCCAGTGAGCTGGCCAAGGGGCTGAGATTCAAAATGAGGTTTCCTGCCTCTACATATCTTCTGGCTGCCCTTTGTCTATTCCCTTAACAGTCAGGAGCCATCAAGTTCAGGAATTTGCAGGTATGCTTCGCTGTGAACTGCGGGGAAGCAGCGTCTTCTCCCCAGAGGCAAGCATGTCGCCTTGTGAAGTTTGATGGCTCTTCACTTGCACACTTAGAAAAAGATTGCGTGTGTGTAACGCCCTGCTGGATGTGTGCGGTGCTAGAGAGCTTGGGGGTGAGGGGAGGACTCTCTCCCTTAAGAAAATCAGTTGACTGGAGAGCTGACATTGTGTTTTAATACCTGGTTTTTATAAAGTCTTTCCTTCTGTTCCCAAGCTCTTCTGTTTATTGAAGCCACCTTCTATTTGAAACACTAAAGTCACAGCGTCTCAATCCCTCCTAATTTCTCTTGGACCCATTCGATTGCTCCAAATCGAGTATTTAGGACTGAACTAGGAAGCCAGTTCAATCCTGAACCCCCGAGGCAGGCATTGGGTCTTCCCATGGAATTCCCAGACACCTGCACCTTTTTGAACACCTATCCTCCCCTTTCCTCTGAGGATTCCGTCCTGCCGCCGAGCCGGGGCGAAGGCACTGAGGTCAAAGGGGGGCCCTTGGAGGCGCGAGGTTTCTGACCGCCCCGGCGATCGTGCGGCTGAGGCACCTGCTGTAAACAGAGCTCTGCACGCTCCAGGCCCCTCTCACCCCGGGTCAGAAAACTTCTCAGCTGCGTGGAGGGAGGGGCGGTACAAAGGCGCTGGGCGGGGACGTTGAGCAGGCCAGCCTCGCGGCCAGGACCCCCCTGCCGGAGATGGGAGGAGCGCACCGTCTCACGGAGGATGGATTTCTTTTCCGCTTGGGGGTGTGTGCGAGAATGAGGGTGGTAAAGACGGGTTGGTAGAAGGGGCGTGCCGGGGTGGAGGAAGGTCTTAGGTTTAGTTCTCGCCGCCGCGAGGCCCGCGGGCCAGGCGAGGCGGCGAAGGTGCACGAAGGTGCCTCGTGGGCCTAGTGGAGTTGAGCGGCGCGCAGGCGCAGTGAGGCCCGCCCGCGGCCGGCTCAGCTGTACAAAGAGCGCGCCGCAGAGAGCCGGGCGTCCTCGGGGCTGAGGGAGCAGCCGGGCTCCGCCGGCCCGCGCCGTCCTCCCGTCCCGCTCCGGAGCGCAGCCGCAGCCACGGCCACAGCTGTCTCCCACCCTGGGCGTGAGGCTTGCGCGTCAGCCGCGGCGTCCTCGCCCATGTAGCGGCCGCAGAGCCCGGCGTCTCCAGTGCAATTCAGGGTTTAATTCTGGCGCTTGCCAGCCGGGCGGACTCCGCCCCCTGCGCCCCGCCCCTCCCCGAGCTCCGGGTCTGCGGCTGAGCGAGCGAACTGCCGGCAGGTTGGGAGGAGCGGCCGAAGGTGAGTGACACGGGGGGGCTGCTCTGCACTGCTTTCCGTGGTGGGGTTGCCCGGGAGCTTCAGGCTCCCACCCTTGCCTCGGCCTGGCCCCCGCCTCGAGCCAACTTGGCGCGCGCCGGGGGCGCACGGCGGCAGTGGCGGTGGCGGAGGGCAGCCCCGCAGGCTCCCGCTCGTCCAGTTGAGCCCGGCGGCCTCGGGGCGGTCCTAGGGAGGGGTCCGAGAGGTGGCGTCTGCCCCGCGGTCGCCGGAGTTTGGCGCGCTCTGCAGCGGCGGAGCTCGGCCGGTCTGGAAGAGGGAGAGGCGCGCTGGGCACAGGGCAGCGAGAAAGTTCGGGCTGGGCCGCCCGGCGGAAAGGTGCGGGCGCCTGCCCACCGCTGGCCGGGCGCTCTGGCCCTTGGATGCCTGTGGGCCCCACCTTAGCTCCGGGTAAAATGGGGAACCCTCTCTGAAGCGACTCTCCGTGAAGTTCGATGCTGTGCTCTGCAGGAGGGAGTGGCGGTCAGGACCCTTTTTTCCTCGGCCTCCGAGGGGCAGGTGGCTTTGGGTCGCCCTCCGCCAACTCCGAGATGTCTCTGGCCGGGGCTGGAGGGCCGGGAGGTGGGGGAGGGGCGTGGGCGCCGCTGTGCTCAGGGCCTCTGGGGGCAACTCAGTCCCGCGCGAACAGCATGGGTTTCGGTGGACCCGCGGTTCCAGGTTGAGGGAAGGTGCAAGGGCCCTTAAGCAGGCTTGTCCCTGAATGTTCCCCTTTCCATGCCGCTTTGGCAAAACGCAGTGGCACTCGCAGCAGCCACTGCCCCTTGACCATTCATCTCCTTCACCTGGGTCCCCATTGGAACTTTCAGAGGCAACTGTTCTTGGTGGCTCTTGCAGGTCAGCACGAGGCGTGCTGCACGAGCGTGACCTAGTGAAGGCCATGGCCGTGTTAGCGTTAACAGCAATTTATGGCGTCCCCCGGCGCTCGCTTTCTGCACATGGCCTCTACGGAGGGTCAGCCCGTCTTATTAAGTAATGGATTCTATTAGACCTTGATACCCAAGACTAATAAGGAAGCTTAATCATCCACTTCTGTAATCGTGCAGTTCCTTTCCTCATCTTCATTGCGCCCACCTCTGGAGCTAAATGGAAATCAGGGTCTGCTTATTTTGAATTCCTGAGTTTATTCAAGCTCATTTTTAGGTGGTGTAACAGCTGTTCATCTTCCAGTTTCTCCTTTCATCCAACTTTCTCTACTAAAATGTTAAGCAGTGCCACGTTTTATTTTTAAAAAATTGAAGTGTAATAAACACAAATTTACTCTTCTAAAGTGTAAAATTCAGTGTTTTTTTAGTATATCCTTGAAGTTATGAAATCACCACTAATTCCGTTTCATTGCACCCAAAAAGAAACCCTATACCAATTAGCAGTCGTTCTTCCAGCTCCCAGCCCTATTCCCTCATTTTGAGGCAGCTACTTAGGAAGTTTTTCTAAGAGAGCGATTGAGTGAGAAAACTGAGAGGTTATTAGCTTTGGTCCTTTTTCTGTTAATAGGTTTGGGGAAAGGTGCTGCTGAAGCAATGGAAGAAAAATTAAGTATTGGCTGTCCTATGGGGAGGTTAAAATGAATAAGGATGGAGGGGAAGCTGCCAGTAGATGAATAATTGCCTCCTTTAGAGATACATAAATTGGGAATACATTTTATCCCCTGAGGGCACAGGGATGCTTTTGGCTTTCTCGGCTCTAGATTTGCCTAGTCCATAAATCACTCGAGGTTCTTCCTCAGCAAAAGTGAGTTCTGGGTGTGTGTGTGTGTGTGTGTACGCTCCACAGGGAATGTTAGAAGGAAAAAAGACTAGGCTTAAAAATTTTTTTTTTTTTTTTTTTGAGACCAAGTCTTGCTCTGTCGCCAAGTTGGAGTACAGTGGCGCAATCTTGGCTCACTGCAAGCTCCGCCTCCCGGGTTCCAGCGATTCTCCTGCCTCAGCCTCCCCAGAAGCTGGGAGTACAGGGGCGAGGTACCACGCCCAGCTAATTTTTGTACTTGGAGTTAAGACGCGGTTTCACCATGTTGGCCAGGATGGTCATCTCCTGACCTCTTGATCCGTCCGCCTTGGCCTTCCAAAGTGCTTGGGATTACAGGCATGAGCCACCATGGCTGGCACTTAAAAATATTTTTAAAAAATATCATTCAAACTGGCTCCAAAGAAAGACACCAAAAAACCATAGGCAAATGGCCACTGGAATTGATACATCCAAGACTAAGTTCATTTCATGAATATTAGCGTCTGCTCACGAATAGT